CAAGTACGTGTAGCTACCATGACTATTGAACATTAGTGTATATTAAGAACGATAAAATACACTAAATTATACAATAACGTCTTCACGACAACAAATTACTACACATAAAATGAAGAAACTCACCCGTTCAACAGTCGGCCGCTTCCTCCGAAAGAAATCAGACACACCACACAAGTACATTTCCCCGATATCCAGCTCGGAGTCCCAGCGACAAAACAACGCTGCACCACAGAATAAGTAATATGGCTGCACCAATAAATTATACACTAGAAAATAATAAGTAATTGACGCCCGCAACGGGGGGTATCTGAGAACGCGATGACTTTGCGGCGGTAGATGTAACTCACTTGTCCTTATTGAAGTGCGACTTAAAGATTTTATAGGGTGTTCTTTTTTTAAAAAGTCTTGCATATTTATATTTATTTATAGACAGGTATATTTAAATCTTTACTGCAGCTTCACATGAGAGTAAATTGCCGTCACATTGAATAAAAAATACCCAAAGATAAATAAAAAAGTACCCAAATTTTTTGACATAAGTCAGAAGGTACTTCGTGGGGCAGTTCAACATTAGTGACAGTTTGAACTTCGAAAGCTTCACTAAGTACAAAAATCTACGAACGCGAGCGAAGCGACTTCCTGTGGGAAATGATTCCGAATTCGCTCCATCAAAGCACACTTTGATGGTGGTGGTTTTGTCAAATTGTTGTTTATTGGCCAGAACCGGTAATTGATCCAGCTACGCCTTTTCAATAATAATTATGCTGCTTCGTAAAATCAACACAATAAATGCCCTCCGGACCACCTGAACCATTAGACAGCACCATTGGTGGTGCAAATGGTACTGATTTATCCCACTTAGTACAATTGATTGTACTTATCGTATTCTTGATCAGCCTGTACATCAGCTGGAGTTATTTGTAATTATAACCGGCTTGATCCTGCGGGAACCGATGCAGTAATTGTTTACGATGCCGGCGCTTGCGCAGGCCACGCGCGCGTCTATTGAGAATGAAGAATAAAGACATTGACTATTAAAGGCCGTTCGACAGCTGGGACATTATGCATTTGACACTACTTCGTTTGCGTAATTGTCATTTGTAGGTAGGTAGGTACTTCGCTAAAAAACTTTCAACTAAACATTTATCTAGTACCCACATTAAAATACGTAATATAAATAAAAACAATCGGTAAAATTGGTACAGTGGAACAAGCACTGGTTTTCATTACACAGTACCTTAGGTACTGTGTAATGAAGGTACTGTACCTACCTAATAACACTGTATTAGCATGAGTGTTTTCTACACAAATTAATTCCAAATAGGTACTTAGCTATCACCAAAAATTATCTTTAATTTTTAAAAAAAATTAGTTACTTAGGTAGTTTGAGAAGCGACTCAATTCGCTAAGAAATTTTAATTAGGTACTTATAAAGAAAGTATTTTTATACCTCAACCTGTAGTTAAACTATTATTAAAAACAAAGATAAGTAATTATTCATTTCAGGTCAAAAGGTTACAGATTAAAAGAACTTAATGTGGTAATTACTCAGGGTCACCTGGGCTTTAAGATTAAGAATTATGTACCTATAGTAATTAACTAATTAATGTTCAATGCCCTCAAATTTCATTATTCATACTTATAAATAAAATGTAACTAGGTATTTATGTAATACCTAACTACATTCAACACTCAATCACATTTAGGTGTTACACACAGATCACAGAAATTGGTGTTACATAATCCGTATACAATAAGTGCATTGATAATAAAAGTTTGTTTCATTGCTAAGAAAAAGACTAAGGCGTTTACTATTTGCAAATCGACAAAAGGCAGAAAAAAACAATTCTAGCATTACTTACTACAATTATTTATTTAAATAGATAAAGTAATAAAATCATTAAATACCTACCTACTACAATGATATTTTATGTTACTCATTTCTGCTCTATCTACACATGACACTCAGCAGTTGTCTTACAAACAAATACCTAGCGGGAATATCTAGGTTTGAAACAGTCATTCGCACGACAAACACTCGTGCATCAATACCTTTCACGCATGTTTTGATAAAACCGAAGTGCATTTTCATGTTGACGCTATTTCTAAACCCTGGAGATATCACTACGGGGAGTTATGTGAACTCAAATAATATTCATCTGGTTTCTTCACGCAGTACGCCCGCACGGTTCCCTTCAGCTCGTCTCCTGGCTTCCCCTTCGTCACCGTCACGAAGTACCGGTAGCCTGCGCCTCCACGCAGCAGGATAGGTATACCACCGGTGGTTTCGATGGCTAAGTGGGTTATCTGGATAAGAAAACGTAATACATCGACAATGTAAAACCACACAACACAACAACAACGCCTACCACTTCAAAATAGCACTGTTTCTTAATAGTGAAATTGCTGTAGCAAACGAAACAGGCTTTACTTTAAATGTATGTACTGATGTTATGTTACTTATATCTTAGTAATACTTATTTCTTATCCGATTTATTTAAACTTAATATTGATAAATGTGCAAACGAAAGTATAGGTACCTACCTACCTAGATAAGGTAGCGACGATGACGTAATAAAATCCCATCAAAAAGGAAGAACATTTACATAAGTCAATCGAAGTAGATACCTATTTTTTATTTTACCTACTTACTAGGTGTGTATGTTTATGTGGTTTAATTCTCAACTTACAATACAATCAAACATTCCTTCACAAAGCACGTGGTGGCCAGTATGCTGGGCGGCAAATTCAAACTTCCTCCTGTAGACCCTCGTGTCATTCGGCCTTCTGGAGCCTTGGTACAGGTTCTTGAAGGGAGACTTTAAGATATCTGGGGAATGTGTGGTCGACGGCAATGGCTCAGGGTACTCGTACTTTTTTATGAAACGACGATAGTTTGGACTAAAACAGACAAAAATTCTTTACTTTTCTGAAGTTTAGCGTTTTTAATTAAATAGTAAATAAATATTTAAAATTGTTGGTACAAAAATCATACTTACATCACTCGATTTCCAATACCAAAATTGTGCATTTTCTCATACAAAAAACTTTGACTAAGACAATCTACACTAAATTCTAAAGTAAAACTAATGCTAAAATAAACTAACGTGAGATCAGCGAACGATTTCATAATTTCTAACAAATATTCATAACGATGTCGGCCAAACTTTTTAGTATAAACTTTGTAAAGTTAAATAATATTAGGTAAAAATATTACTATAACATCTGCAAAACGTCTTCGGAACCGATATTTTACGGGCGATTTGTAAACGATACGCCTACATGACTTTTACTGCACTTAGGTAATATTTTTGATACTGCCAACTGCATACAATTTCGTTATCAAAGCATTTTATTAGAATATTGTAAAATCTATTATGTAAACAGTTCACGTAACTTTGAAAGTGAAATGCATACTTTACCTAGGTACCTACTTGTTTACTACCTTTACATTTATTTATGATATAATATTTATGACCCCTTATCTTTCTATTTTGTATAGCCTGACCAGGAACATAAAAACCCTGGCATAGAGGNGGACCTCTGTGTCTGAAGCAGGTGGTCTTACCACTAGACCACAGAAGAGGCGGTTAATAACGACACTGGCGACTGAAGTTGAAAAAAACTATAACTGCACTAAAAACTAAACCAGTTGTCCTCTAGGTTGTCTGGAAGAGATCTTTTAACGATAAGACCACCTAAATTGTGCCGTCTCTTTTGTAGGTATTCCTTTTCTTTCTTATCTTGTGTGATTATAGCTTGTGATAGGTAGTGTTTTTCATTTTTAAATGGCAATTACTTTCATCACAGTTTCATGTTTTAACTTGGCGAACTGTTATTTAACACAGACACTCGAGCTCAAATTGTACACAAACACTCTTACTCAATACCATTAAATTAAAGATCGGCCTGTACATCAGCTGGAGTTATTTGTAATTATAACCGGCTTGATCCTGCGGGAACCGATGCAGTAATTGTTTACGATGCCGGCGCTTGCGCAGGCCACGCGCGCGTCTATTGAGAATGAAGAATAAAGACATTGACTATTAGAGGCCGTTCGACAGCTGGGACATTATGCATTTGACACTACTTCGTTTCCGCCTACGTACCTAAGTAATTAATATCGTTTGTTGGAGTTACTCTACCCAAAAGATACGTAAAATATAAAATAAAACAGTTTACAATTGACGGAGAAATCGGTAAAAAAATCCTATTCTGAAGTCGGTTAAAATGCAACTACACTGGTTTTCATTAATCAGTAATAACACTGTATTGGCATCAGTGTTTTCTACAGAAATTAATTCCAAATACTTAGTTCACCAAAAATATCTTTCTTTACTCATAAAGAAAGTATTTTTATACCTCAACTCAACCTGTAGTTAAAATTAAAAACAAAGATAAGTAATTATTCGTTTCAGGTCAAAAGGTTACAGATTAAAAGAACTTAATGTGGTAATTACTCAGGGTCACCTGGGCTTTAAGATTAAGAATTATGTATAGTAATGAATGTTCATTGCCCTCAAATTTCATTATTCATACTTATAAATAAAATGTAACTAGGTACCTATGTAATACCTAACTACATTCAACACTCAATCGTATTTAGGTGTTACACACAGATCACAGAAATTGGTGTTACATAATCCGTATACAATAAGTGCATTGATAATAAAAGTTTGTTTCATTGCTAAGAAACAAGACTAAGGCGTTTACTATTTGCAAATCGACATAAGGCAGAAAAACAATTCTAGCATTAGTACAGTTATTTATTTAATAAGGTAATAAAATCTTTAAGTACCTACTACAATGATATTTTATGTTACTCATTTCTTCTTTACCTACACTTGACACTCAGCAGTTGTCTTACAAATAGCGGGAATATGAAACAGTCATATCACTCGTACATCAATCAATACTAATACCTTTCACGCATGTTTTGAAAAAAACCGAAGTACATAATTCAGGTTGACATTATTAGGTACTTAACCCTAAAGATATCGCTACGGGGAGTTATGTGAACTCAAATAATATTCATCTGGTTTCTTCACGCAGTACGCCCGCACTGTTCCCTTCAGCTCGTCTCCTGGCTTCCCCTTCGTCACCGTCACGAAGTACCGGTAGCCTGCGCCTCCACGCAGCAGGATAGGTATACCACCGGTGGTTTCGATGGCTAAGTGGGTTATCTGGATAAGAAAACGTAATAAATCGGCAATGTAAAACCACACAACTGACACAACACAACAACAACGCCTACCATTTCGAAATAGCACTGTTTCTTAATAGTGAAATTGCTGTAGCAAACGAAACAGGCGTTTAGTAAATTCCTCTTGCTTTACTTATAACGTTACTTATAACTTAGTAATACTTATTTCTTATGCGATTTATTTAAACTTAATATTGATAAATGTGCAAACGAAAGTATATCTAGATAAGGTAGCGACGATGACGTAATAAAATCCCATCAAAAAGGAAGAACATTTTCTTAAGTCAATAGAAGTACCTATTTTTTATTTTACCTACTTATTAGGTGTGTATGTTTAATTCTCAACTTACAATACAATCAAACATTCCTTCACAAAGCACGTGGTGGCCAGTATGCTGGGCGGCAAATTCGAACTTCCTCCTGTAGACCCTCGTGTCATTCGGCCTTCTGGAGCCTTGGTACAGGTTCTTGAAGGGAGACTTTAAGATATCTGGGGAATGTGTAGTCGACGGCAATGGCTCAGGGTACTCGTACTTTTTTATGAAACGACGATAGTTTGGACTAAAACAGATAAAAGTCTTTACTTTTCTGAAGTTTAGCGTATTCAATTAAATAATACAAAATAAATAACCAAAGTTGTTGGCAGAAAATAATAAAAATCATACTCACATCACTCGATTTCCAATACCAAAATTGTGCATTTTCTCATACAAAAAACTTTGACTAAGACAATCTACACTAAATTCTAAAGTAAAACTAATGCTAAAATAAACTAACGTGAGATCAGCGAACGATTTCATAATTTCTAACAAATATTCATAACGATGTCGGCCAAAATTTTTAGTATAAACTTTGTAAAGTTAAATAATATTAGGTAAAAATATTACTATAACATCTGCAAAACGTCTTCGGAACCGATATTTTACGGGCGATTGTAAACGATACGCCTACATGACTTTTACTGCACCCTATGTAATATTTTTGATACTTCCAACTGCATACAATTTCGTTATCAAAGCATTTTATTAGAATAATGTAAAATCTGTTATGTAAACATTATTTTCACGTAACTTTGAAAGTGAAATGCATACTTTAACTAGGTACCTACTTGTTTACTACATTTACATTTTTTTTATATGTTACTAAAATCTTAATAAATTAATCCCAGTGAGTGAGTGACCCTTTGTATTATCTTTTTCTATTTTGTAGTAACACGAAGGTAGATGGAAAGTTAAGTTATACACACCACACAAAACAATAAAAGACATAAATACACAAAAGAGACAGAGCAATTACTAAAAACATATAAAATAAACTCCTCCTCCTTTTCTGAAGTCGGTTAAATTCTCTAGTTCCGATTTTTCCCGTAACATTGCGTAACAAAACGCCTCCTATAACGTAAAGGTAAATGTTTTTTGTTAGTAACTAAACGCAACTGACATTTAGTAATTGACAAATGCATTGATTGTTCTCCTCTCTCGCATTTTATTATTTCAATTTTCTATTATTTAGACCAATCGTATTATGTGTGTGTTTATTAAACTATCACTTGATTGAATAATAAATCTAAAATTTCCGCTACGTTTATGAAATCTTCCACTTTTTCTTATTAATCATGGACGGTAAGATCATGACTCAAGCGGTTTTAATATTCTCGCTCGTAACTCGCAAGAAATTCAATAAATGTACATAAATTCTATTTTTCAGGCTCTTCAGCAAAGAAATCTACCTCGCTTGAGACTCTTGTCATCCAAAACATTACGAATTTGAACGATTTGAAAACGAAACTCGGTGATATCATACAAGCAAGTAAAGATTACGAATACGATGTTTCCTCATGTCTGAAAACTCTTCTGAGCAGTTCTGATCAAGAAATAGTAGTGCTAACGGTGCAAGCGATCTCGGAGCTCGCAAAATGTGAAAATAAAAGAGAAACTTACGCTCAGAAGGATGTGATACAGCCAATAATAAGTATATTGGACAAAGAGATAAATTACTTAAATTTAGAGCTTGTGAAGCAATGCTGCAGGGCTTTGGGTAATTTATGCTGTGACTGCGATGCTTCACGGACTGTTATACTGGAGATTAATGGTGTTCCTGTGCTAATTAGATTGCTAGAGCAAACACTGGCCCAGTCTAATCCTGTGTACGATGAAATAAAGCTTCTTGTGAGTAAAACCTTGTTAAATTTCGCCATTGGCGGTTCAGAGTTCTCCGATGCTATTATTCAAGCTGGCATATTAGATATTTTACACAAAATTTTGTCACTGGAGCTGGACAAAGAAGACATGAATGACGATGTAGTATCCACATGTTTGTTGATACTGAGTGTGATAAATGATAATACTCCAGAGTACCTGTTCGAGGAAAAAGTCAATAAGGACGTTCTCAATGTACTCCGGGAGACCACTAATGTGGAGATATCTGAACTTTGCTTGGATCATCTACATGCCCAGGCAGAACATGGTAAGCATAAAATAATTTATCAAAATCGTTAAATATTGTTATTGGGTTTGATATGTAAATTGACATAAAATGTAGTTATATTGTATAAGTTAAAATTGATAATGGTGCGGTGGTGGAAATTGGAAAGCAGAATGACTATTTGATTATTTACTACTTTACCTATTAAATACAGTTCTCATCAAAGTATTATCCTCATCGTTTCATATGGTCCACTATATTAGCAGAATGAGTATCTTTAATGAATTCTGAGTCAAAACTAAATTTCTCTCATTCCAGACTCGGTAAAGAACATGGTAGCAAGTGAGGGCGGGGTGCAACTAGTCTGTACACGCCTTGAGCAGCTGATGGCGCGCCGAGAGGCGGGTGACGTCAGCGCTGAAGATTCAGAAATCGATGCCATCATCAAACAGGCCTGCGATCTCATCATCATAATTTTGACTGGAGGTAATATTGCAATATATTTGAATGGGTATTTATCAAAGCAGATCCTTAGAATGTATCATCACTTGTGTAAATAAGGTTGAACAGTCTCAAAAAACTTAAGTAGGTATTGTACAGTGGTCTAAAATAGAAAGAATCTGAAAACTATCTACATCAGACAAACAAATCATAGCTCTTCCAAATAACACAGCACACTCGCGACAATTTTTTGCCTGTGTAATAAGCTAAATAAATATACTTGTGGTACGAGTGTGTTCTCCACAACCGTCTAGTGGTGGTGTGGTTCAAACCTCCGATCTCAAGTCTGTCAGCCCGATCTTCAGCTATTCACTTGCAAATTCCGAAACTCCACAAAACTTTTCTTTTCCCAGACGACGCAATGAACATGCTATACAACAACGGCGTAGGCGAGGTGTATCTAAGCATGGTAAGGTGGCTGGACTCGCGCGACTGGCAGTTATTGACCACTGGGGTATTGGCTGTTGGCAACTTCGCGCGCCGAGACGACTACTGTGCGCAAATGATGCAGGACCGCATCTTTGATAAGTTGCTCGGTGAGTTGATAATGATAAGGGCGTTTAGTCACCACTTCAAGAACACGCATGACGCCCTTCGAGCAAATGAAAAATTTCTGGCTACTCAACCTTCACTGGTTGGATTTAACTGCAGGCCTAACTGTAGATCCTGGCTGTACAAGAGTTACGGTGGTGGGAGGTGGGATTAGTCACATATTAAAAAGAGAATTGAACTACACTCTCAATCAGACAAGTTGGGGAGGCCTAATGTTCGCATATTGCTCCCTCAGTCGCTTCTAACTATATCTACTCTACCGGAACCATACAACTAATGTCCAATACCAATTTTTTTTTTCCTTTTCTAATCTGCTACTTGGCAATCTGTTTCCGCGAAACAATAATCCAATTATCTGTCCGATTTCAATCCGGTTCTTGAGGCGTTCAGTAAGAGACTAGTCCAGTGAGTCATCTCTTATTCTTTCACTGCGACTTTTACTTCCAATACCAATAGTGCGATTTTGAACAATGCGCCAATGGCGTAGTATCAAAAATTACCGAAAGAAGTACAATTTCTCTATTAAATTATTTGCTATTCTAGTGGCAAAACTTTACTATCGGCACGAATCTACTGACAACGTTAATCTACCAATGAAACGCCCTCAATTTCCGGATTGCTGACATTCCCTATTTCCCTGCAGACATCTTCGAAGTGTACCACGGGTTCGGGGTGCGCATGCAGAAGGATCCGGACGCGGTGCGGCCCGTAGACCCCGCCACCGTCACCAAGGTGCAGCACGCGGTGCTTTCGGCGCTGAGGAATCTTATCGTGCCGGTTGCTAACAAGGTCAGTGTTCTTCTTTTTCTTCTTGTTTTGTTTATGGCCAGTTCTGGGATATCCCACAGAGTGAACTCCCCAATTTATTATTGGTTGCTTANCTGACAACGTTAATCTACCAATGAAACGCCCTCAATCTCCGGATTGCTGACATTCCCTATTACCCTGCAGACATCTTCGAGGTGTACCACGGGTTCGGGGTCCGCATGCAGAAGGATCCGGACGCGGTGCGGCCCGTGGACCCCGCCACCGTCACCAAGGTGCAGCACGCGGTGCTTTCGGCGCTGAGGAATCTTATCGTACCGGTTGCTAACAAGGTCAGTGAAAGAAAGAAAGAAAATATTTTATTTGGCCCAACGTATTAAATTATTACAGTATACAGTTTACACACACACAGGACCGGTCTTTGTGGAAATCCTTGGGGGAGGCCTTTGTCCAGCAGTGGACGTCTTTCGGCTGAAACGAACGAACGAATACAGTTTACAATACTTGCACATTTGTGGACCAAAATGGCATCCGCTCAGCATTGTGTCCTTCTACTTTTTCTTGTTTTGTTTATGGCCAGTTCTGGGATATCCCACAGAGTGACTTCCCCAATGTTGCCTATTTATCTTTTAAACATAAGTACATGTTTTATTAATATTCTAACTAAAGCAATAACGGTAGTAATGAACAGAAAAAACTCGTGTATCAATAAATTTCTGCTATTATGACATGGCTTTTGTCATAGAATAACAACAAGGTTAGGATTTTATAAATCTGTGCAGATGAAATCTACCGTCGCGTCGTCCTTAAATTTCCACTTTTTCGAATATGGTGGAACATGTATAGCATTAAATAATAAATAAAAAGCTTTTATAATAATAAATAAATAGCATTACAAAATGTCAAATGTTAGTCTTTAGAAGAAGCATTGCCTCTTTATAATACAGTGTACAAGATCTTATCACCAGGTGCATGCATGAGCATAAGCGTAACAATATTGCGTTAAAATAATCCGTTCTATTATTGTTTGCAGCGGGTGGCGGCGGCGCAAGGCCGCGCGGCGCCGCTGCTACTGAGCGCTTTGCCGCTGGTGGAGGAGCACCACGTGGCTTACAAGCTATTGGCTNCACTCGAATTTTTTTTTTTTTAATGAGGGATCGGATTCATTCACTCATTCAACGCGCCGAACATGACCGATAACAGCGCGGAAACTCCCGAATGCATATTCGGTTTCGGTCGTAGTTTCGGCAAGTTTGCCGCCGAAAACGAAACTAAACCGAAACTCGTGTTTTTACCGAAACTCAACCGAAAACGAAACCGAAACCGAACATTCGGTCGGACACTACATAGAACTAACTACGCTAAGATTTTAAAAGTCTGTGTAGATGAATATGCCTTCGTCATACAATTTTTCCGGACATGGTGGAACATGTAGCATTACAAAATGTCAAATGTTAGTCTTTAGAAGAAGCATTGCCTCTTTATAATACAGTGTATGAGATCACCAGGTGCATGCATGAAAATAAGCGTAAGTAACAATATTGCGTTAAAATAATCCGTTTTATTATTGTTTGCAGCGGGTGGCGGCGGCGCAAGGCCGCGCGGCGCCTCTGCTACTAAGCGCTTTGCCGCTGGTGGAGGAGCACCACGTGGCCTACAAGCTGCTGGCCNTATTGGCTGCTATACGCATGCTCGTCGACGGGCAAGGTAAGGATTCGAAGACGTCACTAGTAATCTGACTGTTTTAACACGAGCCGGATAGTATAGTTTATCCATTTAAATTCTTCCTCGTGCAATCGCATCAACTGTCAATTTTTCTTGCGCGACGAATGTTGGTATATACCAATCCCTTTTCAATGCAATTTCTATAATACGGTATATTAGTAACCTAGTCCTAGTGAATTGCCTAATTAAATGGAAAACTTCAGTTTTGACCAATATTTTGGCACTTAAATACATGAAGAGAACCTTTTCTCTAGCCTACAGACTTAAAATAGACATTTATACTTTTCATTTTGTTTTCGTGTTGAATCCCTTCTGCTATAATATGAAAATAGTAAGACACAAATGTCAAAATCAGTCCTTGTTACATTGTGAGTCGAATCATCATCGGTGGCAATACCAGGCTGATGTTACTTCGCAGTTTAAGTTGTCAAAACCCTACCGCATCATCCATCAGAAACGTATCACTTACCTTTACTTCCTATTCCAGAGAGCGTCGCTCGCCAACTAGCCACCCACTCGGAAGCTTTAGCCAGCGTGGCTCGCTGGGGACACGCGGGGCAGTGCGCGGGCGCGGCGGGCGAGGCGCCGCGCCTGCTGGCCTGGGCCGCCAGGCAGCTGCGGCACTCCAGCCACTGGCGGCAGCTTGTGCAGGTACCATCTGGGCGACAAGACCACGTCTTACATTGCAGTTAATGTAGGGGACAATGACCTAAGGCCTAGTGGTGCTGGACTGCTGGCCTGGGCCGCCAAGCAGCTGCTGCCACTCCAGCCACTGGCGGCAGCTTGTGCAGGTACCATCTGGGCGACAAGACCACGTCTTACATTGCAGGAAATGTAGGGGACAATGACCTAAGGCCTAGTGGTGCTGGACTGCTGGCCTGGGCCGCCAAGCAGCTGCTGCCACTCCAGCCACTGGCGGCAGCTTGTGCAGGTACCATCTGGGCGACAAGACCACGTCTTACATTGCAGGAAATGTAGTAGTGGTGTAAACGGCGCCGCACCGCAGGTACAACCCGCACTTCGATTGAGCGAGACGGTGCCGTATTGCGGCGCCGCATACCACCATGTGTACAGCGATGCGGCAAAATGCTTGCGGTATAGCATCTCCCTAAGGCCCAGTGGAGCTGGCCTAAGCCGTCAAGCAGCTGCGGCACTCCAGCCACTGGCGGCAGCTTGTGCAGGTACCGTCCGCCCGGCTGGGTATCTAGGCGATAAGACCACGTCTTAGCCTGGTTTTAGAGTCACGCTGACGCGCGCTGACCGTCAGCGCTAACAGCAGGCTGGGTATCTAGGCAAGGTAAGAAGGAGTCTTACATAGCAGGAAATATAATAGCGATGTTAACAAGGGGACAATAATACAAGTGGTGCGGGCGTGAGCCGCCAAGCAGCTGCGGCACTCCAGCCACTGGCGGCAGCTTATGCAGGTACCATCTGGACGATAAGACCAAGGAAATGTAGGGGACAATAACCTAAGGGAGAAGCCACATGGTGCGGTGCATATAAAAATCAATGATATACCAGACGGTGCGTTCCGGCGCCGAACCGCAGGCACACCGCACTTCGATTGAGCGAGACGGTGCCGTTGCGGCGCCGCACCGCACCGTGTAGCATCTCCCTAAGGCCCAGTGGAGCTGGCCTAGGCCGCCAGGCAGCTGCGGCACTCCAGCCACTGGCGGCAGCTTGTGCAGGTACCATCTAGGCGACAAGACCACGTCTTAGGCTGGTTTTAGAGTCACGCTGACGCACGCTGACCGTCAGCGCCGAAGATCAGCGAGCGGTCAGCGCAATACTAAAACCAGCCTTAGGGCTCGTGCGGCGTGGCGTGCCGCGTCGAGTCGGGCGTTTCTACCGTTTATGCTGAGGCGGCGCGTGCAGTGGCCTACGTCGTCCCACGAGCCAACTCAATAAAGAAATGTACGATATTGCGGTGTAGCAGTTTACGCCGCGTCGTACGCAGCGGCGTATACGGCGTCGGTCAGTGCGGCACCCGTTGTGACTTTCAGTCTTGTTGGATGTAGTAGTGATGTAAATGAGGGGACAATAACCTAAGGCTCAGTGGTGCTGGCCTGGGCCGCCAAGCAGCTGCGGCACTCCAGCCACTGGCGGCAGCTTGTGCAGGTACCATGGCGACAAGACCACGTGTTACATTGCAGGAAATGTAGTAGTGGTGTAAAGGAGGGGACAATAACCCAAGGCCTAGTGGTGCCAATAACATAAGGCCCAGTGGTGCGGACCTAGACCGCCAAGCAGCTGCGACACTCCAGCCACTGGAGGCAGCTTGTGCAGGTACCATCTAGGCGATAAGACCAAGGAAATGTAGGGGACAATAACCTAAGGCTCAGTGGTGCTGACTGCTGGCCTAGGCCTTCCAGCAGCTGCGGCACTCCAGCCACTGGCGGCAGCTTGTGCAGGTACCATCTAGGCGATAAGACCAAGGAAATGTAGGGGACAATAACCTAAGGCTCAGTGGTGCTGACTGCTGGCCTAGGCCTTCCAGCAGCTGAGGCACTCCAGTCACTGGAGGCATCTTGTGCAGGTACCGTCCGCCGGTAAAGGACCACGTCTTACATTGTAGGAAATGTAAGGGACAATAACCTAAGACCCAGTAGTGTCGGCGGACATTGACAGTGTCTTCCAGAGTCTGTTAAGAAGGATGCTAATGAGTGTAATTTAAGCACCCAATTTGCCTTCTCAACTTCCCCTAATTCTATATTTTTCTTATTTTCAGGTTGAAGGATGTGTATCCAGTTTAGTGAACATGCTAGTTGTATGTCACTCAGTAATGCAGAACGAAGCTATTCTCGCTNTTCTGCTACAATTTGAAAATAATAAGACAATGTCAAAATGAGTCCCTGATACAATGGGTTTAGCGCCATAATACGTAAGAAATCTGTATCCCTTATTACCAGGGTGCGAGCCAGTCGCAACAGCATTCTGAGGACCCTAGCGGACAGATACACATCGCCGCTATGGAAGTGTCTTGTGCAGAGACTGATCACGGGGCCTTATCCACCCCCATGATGGTCCGTCTCTGCACAGGGTACAAATTTTTGAATTTGTTATTGTTTGTGTGTATGTTTATTTTCGAACCCGTTTAATATTATTATTAATGCCAGGTGGGTGCCACTTCGTAGTTAAAGTTGTTACAACCGTACCGTATCGACAAAAATATCACTTACCTTACTCCATTTCAGAGAGCGTAGCCCGCCAGCTAGCGACCCACTCGGAAGCTTTAGCCAGCGTGGCTCGCTGGGGACACGCGGGGCAGTGCGCGGGCGCGGCGGGCGAGGCGCCGCGCCTGCTGGCCTGGGCCGCCAGGCAGCTGCGGCACTCCAGCCACTGGCGGCAGCTTGTGCAGGTACCATCTAGGCGACAAGACCACGTCTTAGGCTGGTTTTAGAGTCACGCTGACGCACGCTGACCGTCAGCGCTGACAGCAAATGTATGAAGCGTCGGCGCCGAGCGATCAGCGTCACTCAGGAACGTTCCGCACCGTGTGGCATCTCCCTACCGTCTTACATTGCAGGAAATGTAGGGGACAATAACCTAAGGCCCAGTGGAGCTGGCCTGGGCCGCCAAGCAGCTGCAACACTCCAGCCACTGGCAGCAGCTTGTGCAGGTACCATCTAGGCGACAAGACCAAGGAAATGTAGGGGACAATAACCTAAGGGAGAAGCCACATGGTGCGGTGCATATAAAAATCAATGATATGCCAGACGGTGCGTTGCGGCGCCGCACCGCACCGTGTAGCATCTCCCTAAGGCCCAGTGGTGCTGGCCTGGGCCGCCAAGTAGCTGCGGCTCTCCAGCCACTGGCGGCAGCTTGTGCAGGTACCGTCCGCCAGGCTTGGTATCTAGGTGATAAAACCACGTCTTACTTTGCAGGAAATGTAGGAGACAATAACCTAAGGCCCAGTAGTGGACCATTCTAGCCGCTGGCGGCACTCGTGCAGGTACCATGCCAGGCTTAGTATCTAGGTGATAAAACCATGTCTTACATTTAGGAAATTCGCAAGACGGCTTTACCTATAGTCCGCGTACATGTATTACGTTGCACGCACGGTCGTAGGGGGATCGTGAGCCACTAGAGGGCGCTAGGTTAATTATTGCATACTGGCGCTACATAGGCTCTACACTGCTTCGGAGCGGACTAATGTTGACCAGTGTTAGCGAGGAGCAGCGTAAGAAACTCAGGCGCGCTGTTTGAATTGAGATTTCCAGCTTCATCTTCTACTCAAGGATGAACTTAATATGCGAAGTTCAGACTTAATTAGGAGATGAATACGCTCAAGCCAAAACTCATTCAGAAACCGGGCCTCAGTCACAATAATGACGTCGACTAACAATAAATTGTCAGCCTCTGATCTGTTTTAAAAGGCATTTCATAATAACCATCAATACTTGGGACGATGGGTTTATGGGACTCTTTCCACGGGCGGGGCCCTTCTTACACTGACAGTGTCCTTCGGAGCCTTTAAGATGGTCCCACCTCCACATCCCCTAAGATATGTTTTTTTTTTCAGGTTGAAGGATGTGTATCCAGTTTGGTGAACATGCTAGTTGTATGTCACTCGGTAATGCAGAACGAAGCTATTCTCGCTCTTACGCTGCTCGCAATAGAGTCGCTAAACAACAAAACTCCCACGAGCGAGGCCCCATCCGACTTCGATTACGAAAAGAGTTTTACCTCTCAGTTAATAAAGTCGGAAATCGGGAAGCACGTCGCGGTACTCATTGAGACTAACTGTGCGAAAATGCCAATGGAAGTGGCAGAGAATTTGCTCGCGTTTCTCGATATAACTTCGAAGAAGAATGATTTGGCTTCAGATTACAAAGAAACGAAGGTTCACGAGTCTCTAAAGAAGTTTTGCGACTCACGAAACGATTTCAGCGATGACTTGAAGGCATGCATAAATGGAGTAGTCACGTCTATTTTAAATAATGCCAAAGCGGAGTAAACCTCGAAGTGTCGGTTTTTGAAACCAATCGACTTATTGTTTGAATTTATTTCAGAGTCTACCAAGTTGTTGTTCATTGCCACCGTCAGTTATGTCATTTGACATGTACTGAATTAACCAAATAGAACCTTATGACTGACAAAATAAGACCAATTATCTGTGTCAAAGAATAGATAGGTAACCGATAGGCTACGATTACCGTCTGATATATCCGCAACCGATTTTTGCTATATAAATCGACATGAAGGTGGCTTGTTCTAGCCTGTTCTATAATAATGGGACAGTTATACGGTGTATTGCCGAGGAGGATTAGTTCAATATGAATGTATTTAATGTTATTTATAAATGATTTGGTTTTATCAAACATTAAGCTGATATCTGATTTGTATATTTTAAAGTGATGTGTCGTGTTTTTGTGACAAATCAGCGCAAAAACGCGACTTTATTACATTCTAAACGTAATTCAGTGGCAAGCTTTTTATGTTTGCCATAAATGAGCGGTTTCTCCTCATGCTTGTCACAATGACATCTGTCAAATATCAGCCAAAGATGAAATATGTAGCGTTTTCAAGGATGTTTGTATTATTTGGATTGTATTTTAAATGTCACTAGAACAATTTTTGCATACGAATGCGCAAATGAAGAATACTGTGAATCAATTGTTGAAATAAACTCGCGTTTATTCGTAAACTATACATATTGGAATCGAGGTTGTATGGGAGTGCTTGAATTTCTCGCTTCCTATCTAGTCATAGTCTAATTAAGCTACTCGTTAGTCATTTTGCTAGATTTCCTTAAATATTTAACATAGTTTAGCGAAAGAATAATATTTAATGAAAGTAATATGTTATTTTTGAGATTCCCTTTCGTATTTTACATTCCACTTAAGTTTGATCACGTTGTAATATTATATTATGAAACGAATTGTTTGACCATAATTGTTATAGTTATTATTGCAATGGCGCGTGTATTATTCCCGTCTCGTTCGCCCGTGATGTGTGAGCGGAGAAGTTTCTTATACAATAGACATAATATTTTCTTTTATGTGGTTATTGGAATTAAGTTACAATGAGAGAACTGCATCAAAATATTATTGATTAATCTTGTTATGATACATTTACCAATTTATGGTCAACAATCGTTTATTCTGATTTAGATAATAATAAACAAGAATACAAAATACACAGCAATACGAACGAAATACTCAAAAGTACAATACTGTAGACACGGTTATATTATTGATAATGGTCTAGCTTCATTGTATTATAATTAACTTCTATTTAAGATTGTAATTAGTGATTACTAGCTTGAATACGGGCCCTCAACATGCTCTATGGCTGATTTATAAAGATATCCTAAACTTAAATCTAAATACGGGGTGTGTATAGTGTATAGATTTATAATAAACCTTATGTGAAATGAGATCTTCACATCCCAAGTTAATATAAAATACTTATTTGACTTGTTAGAGCATTCAACCAGATAAAAAATCAATCACGCACTCCACGTGATTAAAACATGCACCAACAACAGAGGTGAGGTAGGTAATATTGCATTCTAATGGATTAGAGCATCCCAAATATTTTTAGATTTAAGATTATGAATCTTTTCTATCGCTACATTCAAAGTTGAATGTCTGTCTGTAACTGAAGCACGAATAGTTTGGAAATACAACTTAACTACTGTTAGCAAAATAATACAGCTGAAAATATTTTCACATGATGTCGATAATCCCTAAAAGTGATGTCTGCCCTTTATCGCAATCATGCTTGTCGATGTCTCTTAACAGTAAACAAGTTATTCGTGCTTTGGCTCTCGCGATAGTAAATCAGAAACTATGTCTAACTTCACGCATTTCCTATACTATTGTAGATATAAGTTTTTAACTTCTACTTACCTCGCTTCAGTCTATTACTGAATAAAAGTGTAATACTGAGTAGTTCTCCAATCTACGCAATAAAATGCTACTACTTTTACTACGGGAGTAAAACCAGTTCACATAAGAAACCCAGACTGGCATTGACGCCACGTCATTTCTATTTCATCTGACCATCAAGTCATGCGGTTTAAACATCGGGATCCCCAGTAGTAAAAGTGGCTGCGTGTACGCAGTTTTAAAGACTGCTCCGTTTGCACACCCTGTATAATTCGCGAGTCTTGGGAACAACGAAATGCACTTATATCAATTGGTTTGTCTTTTAAACACAATCTCAACCGAAGAGTGCTTATTCACTCGTGACTTGAAGGGCTTTTATTGTCAAATGCCTTTTCTTTTGCTTGTTTCGTATTTCATTTGATTTCGTTACGGTATTTTACCTTACTATTTAAGTCGCTAAGCGGTAGATAAGAGTAGCGGTCCTTCCTTACCCCACTGGAGTTGCAGTGATGGCGTAGTCATAGTAATATACTTACTATACATAGTTGTTTACAAGATTCGCGAATGTGTGCAGCAGACTAACATTTACCACCTTACTTAAATCCAATCAATTCTTTTCTCTTAACATTAAATTTTAAGATCCGATAGTGCACTTATAAATATAGTTCAAATGCTTCTATAATAATTGTAGTTATAAGACGAACCTTTCAAGTTAAAAATGACAGTTGCTCTTAACTCAATTTTTAACTAATTTTACTTTCACTTAACACTATTGTATTAATGTGAATATTTCCTATTGTTATTAAATTTAATATTACATATTTATATTATCTAATCAGTGTCATTTATTATAAGTAGGTTATAACTTCATTCCGGATTATTTTTCGACGCTCTTATTTTTTACTGTATTTTGAGTTACAATAACAGGATGTTAGGCTTCAGGCTGTGAAAATAATCAAATAAGTGATACAAAGAAACTTCGATAAATTATTACTAATGCCTCAAAATAAATCTAAGTATAAATGAAAATAGTTAAACGTTGTTGGATGGATAGTTCCTCTAAACTATCTTAATTTATTCGTCAATCTTATGCCTTGTCACAAAAACTTATGAATCATAAGTTTTTAAACCAGGATTATCATAAGTTATGATAATCCTGGTCAAAAATTAAAGCTAACAATCTTGATCGTTAATAACCGCCATCAACTAACCTATATAAACCTTTTTTAAAGTATTTTTCTATTTTTCGATTGTTTTGATTTTTGAGGGTGAAAAGGAGGCATAATATTAATGCGGTAATACTTAACTTGCAACCAGTATTGTACAATTTGTACAGTATTGATTGGCAAAGTAACCAAATTATTGCCAAAATCCGAAAACAACGAAAAATGGAATCTTGCTTGTCAGATTAAGGGTTAATACGAGTATTACCGCATCGGCCGATATTCGCACGCGAATATTGTCATTGGCGATAGACGGAAGTCTACCTTTTTAACATTATTTGAACTAGAATGTACACTTATGTGTAGCGTAATTGAGCTTCATCCACCTAGAATACTAGAGTTATCGTATTATAATTCTTGTTAATGCACTCTTTATTGATATAGTTTTATTGGACCAAGATTTATATATTATTCGGTATACTTGTCATCGAATCCATCACTAGGTAATGGTGAATCTTTGATGAACGTAATATTCATATACCATTTAATATTATTATTGTTATTAGATTTATTATTATTATCATAGTTTCTGCTGAAATATGAATATTATTCTAAATAGACTGTGTTTTATTTCCACACCTAAAACCCTGTAGGTAGCTATGTATTATCTATGATATAACTGAGGAAGATATAAATTGTGGGTAGCGTGTGAGATTGAAAGAGTAGCAGTACTAATTATTATAATCAACTTTATTTTAATCTTTTACAACTATATCACAAAAATATAGCTTAATATGTACCTTATTTGTACTAATCGTTAATCTAAGATCATCTTATAACTAAAAATTTAATTAAATGCAAGTGAAAACATCACGATTTTTATGAAGATATAGCCAAGTCAATGTTTTCCTAAANTTCCAAAACATATTTTAAATTAAATAAATATTTTCTTTAAAGTAAACGAACTTTAATTAAAGGCCGGGCCACTTGAAAGGTGCAGCAGAAAAAAGTAAGTGACAGTGCATGCCGCACCAATGCTCGAACTTTAGGGATCTTTCAAATAAAACTTTTTGAACAGACGTAAACGCATGACCACACAATAACTGTTGGTAAGTCATTTTTATACTAATATTGTTGTCATTCATTAGCATCAGGTGCGATTGTGGTCAAATACCTGCATTGTTGCATAAAAAAAAATACAATGACGACTTACCTAAAACGTGTTATTTGAATGAGACCTTTGAGTACTGATTTGATGCTGTGACCATAACAAAAATAATATGAGAAAGAGATACCATAAGCCGTCTACATGGTCTCGTCCAAGTTCATGATGGAGTGCTCCTGGATCATAGTGGACTGCTGCGTGATGGCCAGGCGGAAGCGCAGCTCTTCGTCCGAAATCAGCTGGCTGCCCATGGGGCCTCTGTTGCCGCAGCCCGCCACTGGAAGAAAGACAAAAATCGTTTCATCCTCGAAGACACGCCCCACCATTCTTCCGCTAATGTTTGAGTGTTATCGGTAGATGCTAAATCATCCATGAGTGCACACGCACACTACAATAATGACGCTCGGATTGCTCGGATCTAACTCCCCACACTCCGCGCTTCCCACGACCAAAAAAAGGTTGCGCGCGTCTTCGAGGATGAAACGAAGTATAAAAACCGGTTATTCCCAGTTGCTCCCATTGGCTTGCCCCCACTGGAGGCAATAGGGAATTTGTTAAAATAATTAACCAGTTGTCTTAATGTGTATTTACTACAAATTATCAAATATTATCATATCCTTGCAATAGCAAACAAATCCTTGACAAGTAACTTTAGGGCTGAATTATTAGGCTTATCATACTTGAATTCACTCTTTTCCTTTAATCAATTTCCATAGTACATAATCAGTTTTAAACTAGATTTCATGTCTTATAAATTTGAGAATTGAAACATACCTGGGCATTTTGCAGAAGCTTTCCTCTTGATAAGTTCCATAATAGATTGTTTTTCATAAACATGTCCACACACTGAGTTTTTCATTGGGTCGACTATGGGCCTCTTAGTGATTGGGTCAATCTGAAAACATAAGAAAAAAATTATACCACTAATTAAAGCTGAAAAATCACTATTAATTTACTTAACAGAATGATGTTTACTTTAAAATTAATTATTATTTTATTATTACTTACATATTGGTCCTGTGATTCTGTGATGGCCAAGTCTGAATCATCCATATTTTCTGAAAAATAAAAAAAGAACATTCAGCACATTTTGATTTAATTATAATGAGTTATGTGTAACTTCTGTAACACACTAATCTCACAAAATCCACCAAATAATTCCTTACGTCTGGATTGTTCCATGCCTTTCTGATAGCGTTTAGTCAACTCCAACATGTATGGATGATTGTTTACGTTCAGCCTTTTGCCTGCCATGCTGCACAAGTTGGCATTGAATCTGTCTTGCAATGTGTCGAAGTTTGAGTTGTCCGTCTCTCTCTAAAAATTAATATTTTAAGAGTATGGGTTATTAAATGAAGTTGAAAAGATACATAATTATCATATTTGGGGAGAACATTTAATCAAAAGTATACTATAGCAGAAAATAAAAATATTTCTAAGTCCATGCCCCATAGAGCTCCGTTTCCTACACACTGACCCTGCCTTTAGCATATGGAATAAGGACCTCAGGAACTAACAACTGATCAACAAAATACACCACCGCAACGTTATAATTATTCTACGTAGGTACCTCATCTAAGCACTATTTAATTTTAACTTGCTAAAAAGCCACTATAATGGTGTAGGCACCTATGTTTATGTCATCCCAATGTATTAATAATTAAACTATTTACCTTAGCTTTCTCCAAGGCTTGAATAGCTACATCTTGTTGGGCTTCCTGTAAACAGTACCCTTCGACATAGGACTTCAGTTTCCTAAATTCGGCCTCTTTTTCATCGTCCAAATATTTAGACACGTTGTCCGTACACAAATAAAGGCTTTGCATGCATTGTTTTCTTAGCTCAGCTAGATCTGAATCTGCCATGGTACCTAATTTATATTTAATTAAGTATACGTTGATTTTACAGTCACTCAAATCACTCAATTAATTAAATTATCAAAACAAACAAAAAATGAATCTGCCGGGTGGATTTGGCGGCCGTAATTTTTTGACAGTTTGTTTTGTCACTAATTTTTTTGATCCGATTGACTTCCTCAGAAAAAGGCAATGGCATTATGGGATACAGCCAAGTCTTTAGTTTTTATTTTTCTTTACTTATAAATAATAAATTGCCCTCATAATGAATGATGATAGAAGATACTAGAAGAACTTAATGAAATCTTGAGTTTCAATCAGAGTAATTTAATATAGGGGATTGCTATGGGGGATTGTAATGGCGCTTTACTGAGACTTTACACCAACTTCTTGAGAGGATTTGAAAACTGATGTTGGGTATTTCGCCGAAACAGTAAATTTTCTGTGTCCAGGCAGGCGAACACATGTTTATGTATATCTATACGTATAAAACTATTTTTATGGGAAAGTTCATCAAAAGTTTTATTTGTTTTTGCTATTACATTAGCAGATACTACAAATAAAATAATAGCGTAGAAAAACTTAATCAAAAGTCGTTTTTCTAATTTCCTTGTTATGTCCATTACTGTTGTTTGCCAAAATGAAGGCACACTATAACAAATTGAAGCGTAATTTCATTCTAATAGAAATCTGTTTTTATTTGAGAAACGTTTGGCTATCGGAAAATAAAAACATTAAATGTCAAATAATTAAAGGAAGGAAATAAAGTGAAGTTAAGTTCTTGTCCGAGTCAAAAGTATAATTTCCCTGGGTCTTCATTTCGACCATTGTAGTAACGAAATGAAAGAACTTAGAATGTAATGCACTGCACCGTTACACTCGGCCATTTCGTCCCAAAAGCCCATCGAAGCAGGACAGTACTGCGTTGACCAGTTTCGCGACAAATCGCATAAGTAGGTCCCTCCTTGGGTTTTTGTTTACTAAAAAGTCAATTTCTTTGGACGGCTTTTTGCAACTAAACAATGGATTAATTTTATTGTTTATTTACACAGATGTAGTGTCTGTAGGGGTAAACCCATGATTTATAGCCTGACCAGGAACATAAAAACCCTGGCATAGAGGCGCTTCAATTGCATTTGATAGTGCAACACTGAGTACAGTCGTACATGTGTTAAATTAACAGGCTAAATTTATGTATCAGGATTCAGGATTACGGGCTAATTTGATATTTTCATAAATTAACGAAAAATATTATTAAAAGNTTTCTACCGTGTTCGTACTACTGTCCTCGTAAAATCATCGTAACCGATGTGATTGTAATCGGATTACATGAACATCACTCGACCATGTATGTCCATTTGGACATATCGGAATGGCACGCTTTGACGATCAACTTGCTGTATCTACTCTAATCCATATCTGTGGTGGGTCTAGACAAAGTGCAAATTTTAATCGCAAACCAGTCGAAAAGTGGTCGAAAAGCCCTTTTTTTGTATGGAGTTTTGACGGATTCGATTTTCGATTCGATCAAAAAGTGCGTTTTGTCTAGGGGGGCAGCTTTGACAAAGTTACCGAATTTTTTGACAGTTTCAAACTGTCAAAAATTTTTTTTGATCCGATTTCTTCCTCAGGAAAAGGCAATGGCATTATGGGATACAGCCAAGTCTTTAGTTTTTATTTTTCTTAGTTAAAAATAATAAATTGCCCTCATAATGAATGATGATAGAAGATACTAGAAGATCTTATAAAATCTTGAGTTACAATCAGAGTAATTTAATATTGGGGATTGCTATGGGGGATTGTAATGGTGCTTTACTGAGACTTTACAACTTCTTGAGAGGATTTGAAAACTGATGTTGCACTGTTTTGTTTCATTTGCTCACACTCATGCACGTTCACGAACAATCCGCTACTCACACACTAATTACCTACTAGACGACTAAGCAATAATTTTAGAAAATAAAACAAAACTGCCGTGATTCCACTTTCCCTACAAGAATTTACAAACACCCGTGCAAAATTATCGTTCGTTCGTTCCACAGATGTTCGTTCGTTTCATCCAAATGACGTCCACTGCTGGACAAAGGCCTCCTCCAAGGTTTTCCACAATGAACGGTCCTGCGCTGCCCGCATCCAGGCTCTTCCCGCGACCTTCACCAGATCGTCGGTCCACCTAGTAGGAGGCCTGCCCACGCTACGTATTCCAGCCCGTGGTCGCCACACAAAATTATATTAGTCAAAAATACATGTCTGTAACCAGACAAATCTAAAGTATCTATGAATAAGGTGTGAAAATCCTTGGGGGAGGCCTTTGTACAGCAGTGGACGTCTTTCGGCTGAAACGAACGAACGAACGAAGGTAGACTTACTTGACTTATGGTCCTATGTCCCCTAGATGGGGCAGATGGCGTCCACAACAGTCCTCCATCTCGTTCGGTCTTGAGCTTCTCGCTTGATCTCGCTCCAGGTTTTGCCGATCTTCTTCGCCTCGTCCGCTACAGTGCGCCGCCAAGTTTGCCTGGGTCGACCACGTTTGCGTTTTCCTTGGGGATTCTAATCCAGAGCCTGCTTAGGGATGTGATCGGGGTCCCTTCGGAGAGTATGGCCAATCCAGTTCCACTTGCGGCGCTTGATCTGCTGGTCGATCGGAATTTCGTGGCAGCGTTCCAATAGCTCGACGTTGGAGATTTTCTCGGGCCAGTATATGCCGAGAATTCGGCGAAGGCAGCGGTTGATGAAGACCTGCAGCTGGTGCGAGATAACCTTGGTGACCTTCCACATTTCACACCCATAGAGCAGAACGGATTCATCACACCCTTAGAGCAGAACGGATTTAAACGAACGAAGGTAGCCATGGCCATTATTTTTTAACTACTTATTTAGCTTTGCTCGTCCATTCACTCTCTGAGCTGACTATTTTATTATACCTTACCCTAAAGAAAAAATGTAGGGAAAATAAAAAAAAAGTATTATAGGAATCTGTTTATTTAATAAAAAATAAAGCCATAAATCCTATGCTGATTAACAATTATAAGAAATAACTCAATACAATGTGATTAAAATAAATAATTTGATAATTTAATGAATTCTTAGCTAAAATAACAACACATTATAATTCTCAGCATGTCAATTTTATTATAAGGCACCAAGCATTATAGCCAGCTGTTTGATGAAAGGATGAAGTAGTAACGTTAACGGTATTTCTAGCGTTGTAAGATTACGTTCCGTTCCTTCCGTTGCTAAGATATTTTATATGGTAACGCTCTCATGTCCTAAAGCGGCCGACAGTTGTTTGAGCTGTACTCGCATGTCCTATTCACCATATCTTCTAGCTAGAGGATGAAGTAATAACGTTAACGGTATTCTGCGCGATGTAAGATAACGTTAACGGTTCCGTTGCTAAGGTATTTTATACAGTAACGCCAATGTCCCAAAGCAGCCGACAGTTGTTTGAGCTGTGCTCGCATGTCCCATTCACCCTATCTTCTAGCTAGAGGATGAAGTAATAACGTTAACGGTATTCTTCTTCGACGTAAGATAACGGTTCCGTTGCTAAGGTATTTTATACAGTAACGCCAACATGTCCCAAAGCAGCCGACAGTTGTTTTAGCAGTGCTTGCATTTCATTTACCTTTTTATGTTCTGGATAGCTAGAGGTAAAGTAATAACGTTAACGGTATTCCTTGCGTTATAACGTTAACGGTTCCGTTGCTAAGGTATTTTATACGGTAACGCCGACATGTCCCAAGGCAGCCGACAGTTGCTTGAGTTGTGCTCGCATGTCAGCCGCGGACAGGCCTCGCTGAGCGCCGATCACTTTGAACGCGTTCAGGTATTCCAATTCGGAGAACTGGGCGCCTTTCTCACGTACGGATGTAATGATTTCCTGCGAACAACGTAACACGTTAGAATTTATTTTGCGAAGCTTCGGCAAGACACTCATGGCGATCTGATGCAAGGAGAGGTGAAATATACAGGACAGTGAGAAAAAAGTCCAGTGGCCTTAAACGAAAAGGAACCCAGGACCTTTATAGGCCGAAGCCTCGGTCCTGGTGGGAGGTCTCTTTTTACTTCGCGTACGAGCTCTAGCTACTAGGTGGACCGACAATCTGGTAAAGGTCGCGGGAGGAGCCTGGATGCGGGCAGCGCAGGACCGTGTATTGTGGAAAACCTTGGAGGAGGCCTTTGTCCAGCAGTGGACGTCGTTTGGCTGAAACGAAGGAACGAACGAGCTCACCTTTGAAAGGCATTTGGTAATAGTCTACTCTTACAGTCATGGTGATGTCTCTGATGGAACCGCAGGGAAAGAGGTGAGACTGTGGTCACCTTATTTCAGGATTGTCTTCTTTTTTATCCACGACGAGGAAGCTTTTGGCCTATATTTCACCTGATGGTAAGTGACGATCAGGCCGAAGGTGGAAGCGAGCTTCACCCGGAATCCTCAACCACGGAGGAACTGGCTATCTTACCTTTAACTGCCGGAACACAACAATGCTGTTAACATTATTGTTATGGCGACAGACTAAGGTAAGATGGTGGTAGCTATAAAAAAAAAGCTTTAACCTCTTGCGTGTTCATACCTCTGTAAGTATGTGACATTTGCATAGGCGTGATATATGCGTAGGTGCAAGGCTGAGGGTCATGAGCGCGTGACGTAGGGTCGCGAGCGCGTAACGTAGAGTTGCGAGCGCGTGACGTAGGGTCGCGAGCGCGTGACGTAGCGTCGCGAGCGCGTGACGTAGCTTCGCGAGCGCGTGACGTAGCGTCGCGAGCGCGTGCCGTAGCGTCGCGAGCGCGTGACGTGGGGCCGTGAGAACGTGACGTAGGGCCTCGAGCGCGTGACGTAGGGCCTCGAGCGCGTGACGTAGGGCCTCGAGGGCGTGACGTAGCTTCGCGAGCGCGTGCCGTAGCGTCGCGAGCGCGTGACGTAGCGTGACGTAGCGTCGCGAGCGCGTGACGTAGCGTGACGTAGCGTGGCGAGCGCGTGACGTAGCGTGACGTAGCGGGGCTACCTCGGGCGCGCAGGCCAGCAGGTGCAGGTAGGCGTGCGCGCGGTGCAGCCCGCGGTGCGGCAGGCTGAGCGCCGCGAGCGCGTGACGTAGCGTGGCCAGGCGAGCGGCGGCGGCGGCGGGCGGCGCGTCGGAGCCCTGCCAGCGCCACACCACGCCCGCTGACATCATCTCGCCGAGGCCGCCGAGCACGTACTGAAATATTACACACAACACATTATTAATCAGCAGATTTAGGTAGAAAAGTAAAAGTACATAACAATAACACACACACGTAGAAAATACATAAATGCGAGAATATGCCCAATTCCCAAGGCAACAAGGATCACGACCACCAGTAAATGGAAGGCCAACAGCGGCAACAGTGCGTGCGCAAGTCTCTCCGCGCCGCCCGCGCCCGCCTTCTGCGGTAATGCTCCCTATTCTTACGGCAATAGAGCTCACTAACCGCCGCATTCGTGGAAGGCCAGCAGCGCGTGAGCGAGTCTCGCGGCTCCGCCTGCGCCCACCTCCTGCAATAATACTCCCTATTCCCAAGGCAATAAGGCTCACTAAACGCTAACAGGTGCGGCACCTGCAGCGGCGCGGCGCACTCATAGAAGGCCAGCCAGAAGTGCATGAGCCAGTCTCACCACACCGCCCGCGCCCGTCTCATCCTGAGTCATCCTTCTGCAATAATACTCCCTATTCCTACACCAACTTCCACTTGTAGAAATCTATCAGCGCGCGCGTGCACAAGCCTCGCCGCGTCCCTCGCGCTCACCTCCTGCAATAATGCTCCCTATTCCTACACTAGTAAGGTTCACTAAACGCTAGCAAGTGCGGCGCACTCATAGAAAGCCAGTCAGAAGTGCATGAGCCAGTCTCACCGCACTGCCCGCGCCTTTCTCACCCTCCCTGATTCTTCTGCAATAATACTCCCTATTTTTACAGCAATAGAGCTCACTAACTAGCAAGTGCGGTGCCAGCAGCGGCGCAGCACACTCGTGAAAGCCAGCAGTGCGTGTGCCAGTCTCGCGGCTCCACCCGCGCCCGCCTCGCCTTGATCCTTCTGCAATAATACTCCCTATTCCTACACCAACAAGGCTCACTAAATGCCAGCAATTGCGGCGCGCTAGTGGAAATCTATCAGCGCGCGCGTGCACAAGCCTCGCGCCCGCCTCCTGCAATAATACTCCCCATTCTTACAGTAATAAGGTTCACTAACCGCCAGCAGGTGCGGCGCACTCGTGGAAGGCCAGCAGCGCATACGCGAGTTGCCGCGCCGCCCGCGCATCTCTCGCCATTTGGGCTCCTGCAATAATACTCCCTATTCTTGCACCAATAAGGCTCACTGACCGACGCAGGCCGCCGCCCGCGCCCACCTCCTGCAATAATGCTCCCTATTTCCAAGGCAATAAGGCTCACTAACCGCCAGCAGATTCGGTGCCAACAGCAGCGCGGCGCACTCGTGGAAAGCCAGCAGAGCGTGTGCGAGCCTCACCACACCGCCTCCTGCAATAATGATCCCTATTCCCCAGGCAACAGAGCTCACTAACCGCCAGCAGGTGCGGAGCCAACAGCGGCGCAGTGTACTCGTGGAAATCTAGCAACGCGTGCGCAAGCCTGGCCTCGTCGCCCGCACCTTCCTCGCCCTCCGTGATCCTCCTGCGATAATACTCCCTATTCTTACGGCAATAGAGCTCACTAACCGCTAGCAGGTGCGGCGCCGACAGCGGCGTGGCACACTCGTGGAAAGCCAGCAGCGCGTGAGCAAGTCTCGCCGCGCTGCCTCCTACAACAATACTCCGTATTCCCAAGGCAACAAGGCTCACTAACCGCTAGTAGGTGCGGTGCCAACAGCGGCGCAGCACACTCGTGGAAAGCCAGCAGCGCGTGGGCCAGTCTCTACGCCCCGCCCGCGCCTTCCTCACCCTCCGTGATATCTCTGCAATAATACTCCCTATTCCTACACTAATAAGGTTCACTGACCACCAGCAGTGTCGCGGCGCAACCGTGGGCGGCGCTTCGTACGATAATACTCCCTATTCTTACAGCAATAGAGCTCACTAACCGCTAGCAGATGCGGCGCCAGCAGCGGCGCGGCGCACTCGTGGAAGCCAGCAGAGCGTGAGCCAGTCTCGCGGCTCCGCCTCCTGCAATAATACTCCCTATTCCTACACCAATAAGGCTCACTAACCGCCAGCAGATGCGCGGCGCAACTGTGAAAGACGTGCGCCGCCCGCGCCACCCTCCTGCATAATACTCCCTATTCTTACAGTGATAAGGCTCACTAACCGCCAGCAGCGTCGATCCTTCTACAATAATACTCCGTATTCACAAGGCAATAAGGCTCACTAACCACCAGCAGATGCGGTGCCAGCAGCGGCGCGGCGTACTCGTGGAAGGCCAGCAGAGCGTGTGCGAGCCTCACCACACCGCCTCCTGCAATAATGCTCCCTATTCCCAAGGCAATAAGGCTCACTAACCGCTAGCAGATGCGGTGCCAACAGCGGCGCAGCACACTCGTGGAAGGCCAGCAGCGCGTGTGCAAGTCTCGCCGCGCCACCCTCCTGCTTCCCTATTCTTACGGTGATAGAGCTCACTGACCGCCAGCAGCGTCGATCCTTCTGCAATAATACTCCCTATTCCCAAGGCAATAAGGTTCACTAGCGCAAGAGCAAGTCTCTCCGCGCCACCCTTCTGCAATAATACTCCCTATTACGGTGATAGAGCTCACTGACCGCCAGCAGCGTCGATCCTTCTGCAATAATACTCTCTATTCTTACGGCAATAGAGCTCACCAAACGCCAACAGGTGCGGCACCTGCAGCGCGCGGCGCACTCGTGGAAGGCCAGCAGAGCGTGAACCAGTCTCGCCGCGCTGCCTCCTACAATAATACTCCCTATTCCTACACTAGTAAGGCTCACTGAACGCTAGCAAGTGCGCCGCACTCATAGAAGGCCAGCCAGAAGTGCATGAGCCAGTCTCACCACACCGCCCGCGCCCGTCTCATCCTGAGTCATCCTTCTGCAATAATACTCCCTATTCTTACACCAATAAGGCTCACTAACCGCTAGCAGATGCGGCGGCGCCAACAGTGGCGCAGCACACTCGTGGAAGGCCAGCAGAGCGTGAGCCAGTCTTGCGGCTCCACCCGCGCCCGCCTCTCATTGATCCTTCTGCAATAATACTCCCTATTCCTACACCAACAAGGCTCACTAAATGCCAGCAATTGCGGCGCGCTAGTGGAAATCTATCAGCGCGCGCGTGCACAAGCCTCGCGCCCGCCTCCTGCAATAATACTCCCTATTCATACAGCAATAACGCTCACTGACCGCCAGCAGCGTCGATCCTTCTGCAATAGTGCTCCCTATTCCCAAGGTAATAAGGCTCACTAACCGCTAACAGGTGCGGCGCCAATAGCGGCGCAGCACACTCGTGGAAAGCCAGCAGCGCGTGAGCCAGTCTTGCCACGAATCCCGCTCCCTCCGCTCCGTGATCTTTCTACAATAATACTCCCTATTCCTACACTAAAAGGCTCACTGACCGCCAGCAGCGCAAGAGCAAGTCTCGCCGCGCCGCCAGCGCCTTCCTCACCCTCCATAATCCTTCTGCAATAATACTCCTTATTCCTACACTAGTAAGGCTCACTGAACGCTAGCAAGTGCGCCGCACTCATAGAAGGCCAGCCAGAAGTGCATGAGCCAGTCTCACCACACCGCCCGCGCCCGTCTCATCCTGAGTAATCCTTCTGCGATAATAGTCCCTATTCCTACACTAATAAGGCTCACTAACCGCTAGCAGATGTGGTGCCAACAGCGGCGCAGCACACTCGTAAGGCCAGCAGTGCGTGAGCCAGTCTCGCGGCACTACCCGCGCCCGCCTCTCCTTGATCCTTCTGCAATAATACTCCCTATTCCTACACCAACAAGGTTCACTAAATGCCAGCAATTGCGGCGCACTAGTGGAAATCTATCAGCGCGCGCGTGCACAAGCCTCGCGACCGCCTCCTGCAATAATACTCCCCATTCTTACAGTAATAAGGTTCACTAACCGCCAGCAGGTGCGGCGCACTCGTGGAAGGCCAGCAACGCATACGCGAGTTGCCGCGCCGCCCGCGCATCTCTCGCCATTTGGGCTCCTGCAATAATACTCCCTATTCTTACACCAATAAGGCTCACTGACCGACGCAGGCCGCCGCCCGCGCCCACCTCCTGCAATAATACTCCTCATTCTTACAGTAATAAGGCTCACTAACCGCTAACAGATGCGGCGCCAACAGCGGCGCGGCACACTCGTGGAAGGCCAGTCAGAAGTGCATGAGCCAATCTCACCACACCGCCCGCGCCCGTCTCATCCTGAGTCATCCTTCTGCGATAATAGTCCCTATTCCTATACCAATAAGGCTCACTAACCGCTAGCAGGTGAGGTGCCAACAGCGGCGCGGCGCATTCGTGGAAAGCCAGCAGTGCGTGAGCCAGTCTCGCGGCTCCGCCCGCGCCCGCCTCGCCTTCCGAGTTAGACGCCGTCTCTTCCTGCCCGAGGTAGTAGAAGCACGCGATACGCAGCTGCAAACACATTATTATACACCACTAAATTTTTATCACCGAAAAAATTTTAACAGGTTATGTAGAAACGTATGAATTATTTAAAGCAAAAGAAATTATGTTTTTCATAAAGTAATTTTTTTTATAAAAATTTCTTTAGTCTGTATTTTACGCGTCACAGCTTTGTCACTCCGCTGCTCGCTAGAGTAGTCGTACGCGCTCGCACGTTGCATCGATCTGTCTGTCTCGCTCACGCCTCGACCACGCTTCCAGTGTTATTATTACATACTAGCTAACTTAGACCATTTTGAATTCTAATAAGTGTTACATTATCGTACGTAAATAGTGCTAGCGACGCGTGTGTCCATAAATTACCAATTTTAGGAGGAAATTTTGAGTCACTTTAACTTCTTTTTTTGCACAAATGGGATCAGTATCAATAACTCATTACCCAGAATTTTTTTTTCGGTGATAAAAATTTAGTGGTGTATTAGTACGTACTGTGAATGGGTGTTATTAGTACAACACCCATCCACATCACACGGAGTCATTGGGGGAGGCCTATGTTTAGCAGTGGACGTCCTGTGGCTGAAATGATGATGATGATGATGACGTACTGTGAGGGTCTACGCGTACGGACGGAGCGGGTGCCCGTTCCGCATGCGTTTTACAGACCTTAGCAACCAGTTGCTGTTAACGCGACTGCTACGACAACGAATAACGCTAGTTAGCAGATAGCGCTAGTTTCTATCCTTTTTTTCATAGTCGCATTGCAATTGTACTATCAGCAACAGTGTTAACTGTGTTAACTGCCTATTACCAGTCATGCCATCTCGTTCTATCGCAAAGAATCACCATTTGATTAGAGCGAGAGCAAAAACGGAAATGGATAGTTAACAGTGTGGCCGTGTGTACAGATAGCAAACGGTTGCTAAGACTCGTAATAACCCCACAGGATATCCTACGCGTTTAGAGTTAAAGTTGTGTCTATGTTAAAACTAAAACAGACAGAGTTCGATTAGGCACAAAATCAGTGCAGTAATCAGTGAAAACTGACGTAAGATAGGAGAGTAACGCCCGTATTCAGCAAATCGAACGCACAGCGTTGAATAGAGCTCTGTGATTGGTTCGTGTGTCACCCCGTGTGTCCACGCGCAGTGAGTCCTCATAGTAATGTTTGAGAATACGGGCGTAAGCACACAGTTATAGCAACCACATCAATAAAAGGTTTACATCACCGACCTCAAGATGAAGGAAGAGCAAACACTTGTGAGCGATCTCCTCAAAGATGGCGGCCGCAGCGTTGATGTCGCCGATGAACTTGTCGCTCAGCTTGATGCCCGACCCGCCGATTATGGTCGGCAGCGTCTTGATGTTGGTTGCGAGCCAGTCCTGTTGAAAAATACACTAAGTAATCTATTTTATGTATGTATTTATTTATTATATATTTTATATATTATTTATGTATGTAGCATATTATTATTTGTTTTTGTTTTTCTTTCCTGCACTAGAAGTACCGCCAAACAAATTTCTTTTCTGCTCAACCCAAAGGTAAACTGGTCGAGAATGCTTTAGTGCATTAAGTTCGCCTTATGTACAAATTTATTTTGGCATAAAAGTTTAAATAAATAAATAAATAAATAAGTATGACAACGGCTACAGAGTACATGATAATGTGTTAACGCGTATCTGGCGGGCGTGACGTCACATCGACGCTCTGGCACGGAGATTTTCATTCCAGCGAGATGCGCAGTTAGCACATTAGATGCTCTTGTAATAAATCTCCATGATTAAGCCGAACGTCCACCGCCGGCAAAACTAAATGAAACTAAACTCAGTGAACTAAGCTAAGCTAAACTACAACTACGCTTTCCGTCCACCAATAAATAAGTTAAAACTACGTTAGTGATGATGGTCAGTTTGTGTTAGAACGTCGAGTTAACCGAGCTAAGTTCCACTTAGCTGGGGCATTTCACATAGCTTAGCTGGCATAGTTTGCGGTGGACGCACATGTATGAAAAACTGGCTCAACTATGCGAGCTAAGCTAAACTAACTTAGTTTAGCCGGCGGTGGACGTTCGGCTTTATAGATAATCATAACATAGCAACTTGTACTCAAAATTTCGACTCACAATCGGAGCTACGGATACGTTGTAGGTAGACTGACGTTCGCGTCATGCAACAGTCGCGGAATCATATAGTTCTGTTCTATCAAGTTATCAACTCTATCATATCTGAAACTAGTCATTGGGTATTAAAAAATATGGAACTCACCATAGATTCGCACATCAGCGCTAGATCAGCCAGCGCGGTGACGTCAGACAGCAGCTCGCGCCGCGTCACGGCGCCGTCGCCTAAGCTTGAGCCCAGGATCTCGGCTTCGCGCTCGTACGCTTGGTTGAGCTCCTGTAATTTAAAGATTCAATAAGGCAATTTGTTTTCTATTATCATATTATCATTTCAGCCACAGGAACTACTGCTGAACATAGACCTCCATTTCCACATTGCCCGGTTGGTAGGGGCTTGCTTCCAGCTCCTTCCTGATACCTTAAAAAACTCATATATTTTTGCAAATAGCCTTTTAAAAAGCACTTTTACACCTTGTGGGTGGACGTCCCACGCTGCGTTTTCTGGTACGTGGCCTCCTCAGTTTTCTATTATAATAGCAACAACCTCGACGCCAGGATCGAGGGAGGCTGGTGACGTCACGGGCTGTACGCGCAACGTTTACGCCGGCACCACGCGGCTGCCAGGAGGGGTCACTGACCTGCGTATAAGCAGCGGAGGCGGACGCGGGCTGCATCGTGGCGGGATGTCTCTTCATAAGGCTTCAATCTTTCAATACTCAATAGTTTATTGCTTTCTTGTTATATCAGGCTGAATCTCTCGGGCCGTCCTATCTGTGGAGGGAGAGGGTCACTGACCTGCGCACTAGCAGCGGAGGCGGACGCGAGCTGAGGCGCGGCGCGCCATTTACGTACACAGGCTCGTATTAGAGCTATCTGCATGGCCTAGTTATGTGTGATTGAGGTGAGGAGAGGGATGGGGGTGAGGGAAGGGAGAAGAGGGTCACTAAACTGCGCGCTAGTGGCGGAGGCAGGCGCGCGGTGTAACGTGTTCCGTTCTTAGTTACAAGAGCTCTGTGGCCGGTCTATCCGTGAGGGGTGGGGTCACTGACCTACGCACTAGCAGCGGAGGCAGGCGTAGGTTGTATAGCAGCGCGCCAGTTGGGCAGCGACTGCACGAAGCGTACTATGTCGTCGTCGGCCAGCCAGCGCGCCGCACTATGGAGCGAAATTGCGATTTATGGACATAGCGATTTTTTTCACAATTTCTATTTGAAAAAAATACCTATCGATAGGTTACGTTATTCTGATGAATAAATGCTGCACAAGTTTTTCTCTAAAACCAATAGTTTGACTGGAAAAAAATATTTTCCATTTTCGTTGTATGGAATGAAACATAAAGTGGTCGATTTCGACTAAGCCTTGACAGATCTTGCTTTGAAACTACTTGAGCCTTGTTCTATGGCTTGTTGACTATAATCCTACACTAACAGCGCGCGCACAAAGTTGCCCGTTCAGAAGTTATGAGGTTCCGAAAAATGAAAATTAAAGTAAGTAAAATTGACTTTTCTTTAGATAAGACGACAAGAGAAAGGTTAATTACATTACTAAAGTATATAATTTTCATGTTTTAGTTGAATCTTTAAAGATTTATACCCAAAAAAAGATACTTTTACTTACTTTAATTTTCATTTTTTGGAACCTCATAACTTCTGAACGGGCAACTTTGGGCGCGCGCTGTTTTTGCAGGATTATAGTCAACAAGCCATAGAACAAGGCTCAAGTAGTTTCAAAGCAAAATCTGTCAAGGCTTAGTCGAAATCGACCACTTTATGTTTCATTCCATACAACGAAAATGGAAAATATTTTTTTCCAGCCAAACTATTGGTTTTAGAGAAAAACGTTCATAATATTTATTCATCAGAATAACATACCCTATCGACAGGTATTTTTTTTAAACAGAAATTGTGAAAAAAAAATCGCTGATTTAATTCCTTTTAAGTTTATTAAAATGTGTTTTTAGCAGTAATTTAAGGTTAATTTACATTATTAACGTATAAAATCTTTATATTTTTGTTAAATCTTTAAAGATATTCCAAAAAAAAGTCACTTTTACTTACTTTTTTTTAATTTTTCAGAACCTCATAACTTGTGAACGGGCAACTTTGGATGCGCGCTGATAGCGTAGGATTACAGTCAACAAGCCATAGAACAAGGCTCAAGTAGTTTCAAAGCAAGATCTGTCAAGGCTTAGTCGAAATCGACCACTTTATGTTTCATTCCATACAACGAAAATAGAAAATATTTTTTTCCAGTCAAACTATTGGTTTTAGAGAAAAACTTGTGCAGCATTTATTCATCAGAATAACGTAACCTATCGATATGTATTTTTTTCAAATAGAAATTGTGAAAAAAATCGCTATGTCCATAAATCGCAATTTCGCTCCATAGTGCGCCGGGCCACGCGGCTACCAGGGGTCACTGATCTGCGCAGGCGCGGGCTGCATCGTGGCGGGATATCTCTTCATAAGTCTTCAACGTCTCTTCGTCAGCCAGCGAGACGCGCAAACTTGCGTGGGGTCACTGATCTGTGTATTAGCAGTGGAGGCTGGAGCGCGCCATACACACAGGGATCATATTCAAGCTATCTGATTTAGCTTCTGTCGTTGGAAAGAGGGGTGGAGGAAGGGGTCACTGACCTGCGCACTAACAGTTGAGACGGGAGCGAGCTACAGCGTGGCGAGGTGTTCCTTCCTTAGATGCAGAAGTCTTATGCCTCAACTTATTTTGTTATACCTGCCAGTAGCCAGCGGGCCACGCGTGACTTTACCATGTGGCTACCAAGAGGGGTCACTGATCTGCGCGGGCGCGGGCTGCAACGTGGCGGAATATTCCTTTTTCAGTTGCAGAGGGATTAGGCTTCAACCTTTTCTGTGGTTCTATACTGGGTCTCTCGGGGCGGTCTATCAGCTCGAGGGTTATTTACCTGCGCACAAGCAGTGGAAGCAGGGGTAGGTTGTATAGCAGCGCGCCAGTTGGGCAGCGACTGCAGGAAGCGCACGATGTCGTCGTCAGCCAGCCAGCGCGCCGCGCGCGACGCCTGCGCCGGTACAACACGGCTAACTAGGGTCACTGACCTGCGCAATACAGCAGCGAAGGCGGGCGCACACACACAGAGATCGTGTTGAAGCTCTCTGGGTGCCCTAACTGTGCGAGGTGGGGAGAGCGGTGGAGAGGGTTATTGACCTGCGCGCTGGCGGTGAACGCGACTTGGAGCGTGACGGAATGTTCCTTTTTCAGATGCATTGCGATTAGGCTTGCTGTTTTCTGTTGTATCAAGTTGGATCTCTCGGAACTAGAGTGTATATAAGTGTGGGTGACTAGCCTGCGCACTAGCAGCGGAGGCAGGCGTGGGTTGTATAGCAGCGCGCCAGTTGGGCAGCGACTGCAGGAAGCGTACTATGTCGACGTTGGCCAGCACGGCGGCTTGGGGTCACTGACCTGCGGGCGCGGGCTGCAGCGTGGCGGAATATTCCTTTTTCAGTTGCAGAGGGATTAGGCCTCAACCTTTTCTGTGGTTTTATACTGGATCTCTCGGGGCGGTCTATCAGCTCGAGGGTTATTTACCTGCGCACTGGCAGCGGAGGCAGGCGTAGGTTGTATAGCGGCGCGCCAGTTGGGCAGCGACTGCAGGAAGCGCACTATATCGTCGTCGGCCAGCCAGCGCGCCGCGCGCGACGCCTGCGCCGGTACAACACGGCTATCTAGGGTCACTGACCTGCGCAATATAGCAGCGGAGGCGGGCGCACACACACAGAGATCGTGTTGGAGCTATCTGGGTGCCCTAACTGTGCGAGGTTGGGGTGAGCGGTGGAGAGGGTTATTGACCCGCGCTCTGGCAGTGAACGCGGCGTGGAGCGTGACGGAATGTTCTTTCTTCAGATGCATTGCGATTAGGCTTGCTGTTTTCTGTTGTATCAAGTTGGATCTCTCGGGGTTAGAGACAGGTGTATAGTATGGGTCACTGACCTGCGCACTAGCAGCGGAGGCAGGTGTAGGTTGTATAGCGGCGCGCCAGTTGGGCAGCGACTGCAGGAAGCGCACTATATCGTCGTCGGCCAGCCAGCGCGCCGCGCGCGACGCCTGCGCCGGTACAACACGGCTATCAAGGGTCACTGACCTGCGCAATATAGCAGCGGAGGCGGGCCCAGTCGAGAGCGCGGCATGTCAGTTACACACACAGGCATCATATCTGAGTGCCCTAACCGTGCGAGGTTGGGGAGAGTGGTTATTGACCTGCGCGCTGGCGGTGAATGCGGCTTGGAGCGTGACGGAATGTTCCTTCTTCAGATACACTGGGGTCACCGCGTCGGTCGCAGACCGACGTTCGCGATCGGGCCGTATCGAGCGCATAAGGCGTCCGATCAGTGGCGAGCCCAACTAGAGGGTTGCCCACCGCGGTGTTGGACCAAAGTCCAGCCTACGGTGGGCTCACTCTAGTGGGCCCGATCGAAGGAGCTGTGTACCTGCGCACTAGCAGCGGAGGCAGGCGTGGGTTGTATAGCGGCGCGCCAGTTGGGCAGCGACTGCAGGAAGCGCACTATGTCGTCGTCGGCCAGCCAGCGCGCCGCGCGCGACGCCTGCGCCGGTACTACGCGCGCGTGCGCCGCGCGACACGCCGCTGCTAGCGCGCCTAACGCCGCTGTGGGTAAACCAATGCATTAGGAAAAATAAATACTTCTTATTTTAATATGATTAGAGTAGGCGCACACCGTTGATTTTTAGTTGGCCGATAGTTGTGCCCGATTTTAATTTGTATGAAGAATCGGCCAAATCGAATCGGCGTAGTGTGCGCACTCCCATACATGCCCATACTGATCAACTGCCCGAACTGCGTCTGCACTCTGCCGCGCGCAACTCCCGCGATTCGACCAGTTATAACCGCAAGGTTGGCATGGCCATGGGTGGTGGTGGGTTGATCAACTGCCCGACTAAACTATCGGCCGACGAAAAATCAACGGTGTGCGACTCTCTTTAATATGAGTTCTAGGATTATAGTCTACACTAAAACTTGTGCAGGTACCCGTCTATTAATGAGAGGCTCATTTGGCCAAGCCGCTCATTCGCCTGAGCGTACTCAAGTGGTATTGCACGCCCATGACGTACATTGACCCACCGCCGCGCACGTGGCAACCTGTCGCACGCGTCCAGGCCACGATGCGCTACTTATACTATTTTTCGATAACGACACGTGTGCGTGCGTTTCGTACGTGAACACTTGGAATCACTACATATGTTTGATATTTCGTCACCGCGCCCGCGAGTCAACGTGAACAAGCACGTAGTCCTTAAACGAAGCTGTAGTAGCCCTCAAGGCGTCAGAGCTTCCGCACGCGCACCAGCCATCACTCTGCGACACTAGTCACTATCACTGTGGCAAGAAGAACTATGACTACCTGTAGTGGCTCTGAGGGGTCCATATTGGCTCACCTAAAGTTATTTACCCGAAATTGTTCTTCCTAACGATTTTAAATCCGAATGATCACTCTTCCTAAAATTTTTCATCCTAAAGTTTTCATTCATACTATTTGTAGTGCTACCGGCGATGTTCATAATACTCATGTTTCCGAAAATTGTAATTAATAATATCATTTATGTAAATATATTTAAACTCCTACTGTTTTTTATCATAACACTTTTATCCCTAAACATTACCATAATATTTTCACTAGTGTTGCCGATCGATAGTCGACTATCGATAGTCTATCGATAGTCTATCGATAGTCAAACTATCGCAAGACTATCGATTGGCCTATCGATAGTATCGATACTGTCGATACTATCGATACTATCGATAGCTCAAAACGAGGCAATACTATTGAATATGTGCAATACTATCGATACTATCGATAGTATTGTTGCTCGTGAAGAATAAACTATCGATAGTATCGATACTATCGATAGTATTGTCGCTTTTGAATAAAAAAGCTATCGATAGTATCGATACTATCGATACTATCGATTGTTCTAGACTATCGATAGTTTGGCAATTTACAATAGTATCGTTTACAATATTTGGGTATAATAGTCAATAGGCACGCACAACGATAGGGATAATGGAATACTTGAATTATTTCATAATAGTTAACCCATAACATTTAATTATATGTTTCCAAAATTGGCAACACACATATTTTATTTGCTGCAGTAGGCTTGTTATTACCAGGCTATCGCCACTCCATACAAAATAAGTTAGGTTGACTTTTGTCGTCAACATTGCAACAAAACATATAATCCTAAAAAATAAAAAGTATCCGCTCTACATTGAATCTTAAAGATATGATAACATTTTAATTTGGTCGCATTATACGAATGAACGAAGGTTGAATTTACTGTTTTTATTTATTTATTATTTATTTATTTACACTTTTGCACATACAATTGTACAGTGGCGGACTTAATGCCAGGTGGCTTTATCTGCCAGTCAACCACAGGTCGAGTAGAGAGACTAAGGCGGTGCAATAAATATGACGTTTAATTAATATACTTACATAGCATTAGATAAAATAAATAACATAAGAATACATATTAATATAATAGACATACACCTAGATACATAAACATAATAATAATATTTTTATGTTGGTATTCTTGCGATTTGTCAATTAGTTTGTGCGGAGCGTCTACGTATTTATAATGAAAAGATGTGAGACATGGGGGTGTGAAATTTGTGGCGTGAGGGAAATGTAACTAATATGGCTGGTACATTTTCAGCCAAATTGGAGCATAAAAGGTTGGTAAATTGGTATGTTGACATCATAAATCTTAGTAGTACGTGAGTAACTTAGTAAGTATACTGTTTCTACTTGGTTAAAACAGTTAATAAACATAAACATTTCATAAAATAATAATAAGTTTGACATAATAGTGTGGTGCCCATAGATCATTTATTTTACCGATTCATACTTAATAGTGTGGTGCCCACTGCCCATAGATCATTTATTTTACCGATTCATCCGGTATATTTTTAACCCTCATAATTAATTTGTCTAATTGCGATCTAAAATGACTTAAACCTAATACTACTGTCTTATTTGCAGGTATTCTAAATTTTGAACTAAAAATTACTAATTTAAGTTTTTTGTTGCAGCCTCCAAAGGACCAAAAATCGACCTAATCGACAGCCCGAAAATGGAAAGCATAGTTTTCCTGCCAAAATAGTTGACTTTCATTAAATAATCTTCACTAATATTCAAAACTATTTATTTCAAAAAAGTAGGCAATATCCATTCATAGCATCATCAGAAGAGAAATTTCAGATTATGTTATCATAAATATGTTATTCATTTATTTCGTTGCTGTATTGGATTAAATTGCCTCCTTTTACCACTAGAGTACCTATCAAATATTTTTTACAATAATACCGAACAAATTGATATAAAAATTCGATGTATCGATTGATATCCAATCAAATCGAGTTCGATGTATCGATTAATGTTCAATTGGGTATGGTAGTTACCTGTCATATTGGTACCCTTGTTGGTTTCTTACACAGATATGGATAGATGCAGCATGTGTCAAAAATTGTATGAAGCCGAGCGTGCCACTTTTTAAACGTCATTAGTGTCATTTTAGCGAATTTTAGTGATTGCCGTAACGTAAAAGTAATCGTATCATCGTACTGCATTCACAAAGTCATCGAAAGATATCGTGTGACTCGATTCGAAAATTAATTAATTCCGATAAAACTGATATTTTATTAAATTTATAGCTAGTCTGACTGTGGATTAAAATAATTTTGTAGCGGTAAACGTTATTCTACAATATTATTTTTCTTATTAATTTGCAAATAATATTTTTGTTGTGCCTAATATTTATGAAAGTAATGATCGTTATTCCATTATGTTACACATACAGGGACCAATGGTCCCGGACCATGGTTTTACTCTTAATAGTACATCGCAGGATATTTATTAAAAACAATGCTACTTTATACTTCTTCTACTGCTACTTTATTCTAATTATTTGTTACTTGTGCCAGGCCTGTTCATCTCCGCGAGTTTACATCGAAAACAAAACACGCACGATAGGCCACCTACAGGATACTATTCGACAAGGCCTCACATACGAGCGAACATTGCGAGCAGTATTTAACTGCCTAAATAATAATAAAAACACAGAATGTACTTTTTTAAGTAGGCTCAAGACACTGATAGGTAAATAAGTAGTTAATATTATAATATTATTCATGATAATTCATGCTCAATCATGTATTTCCTCGGCCATTTTCCGCAGTTTGGCACCTCGTGTGACATCATTTTACCGAAGTCAGCCCTATAGCTTCGGCGCAGTGCCGATCACTGACGTTTGTCAACAAAATGGTGCTTGACTCTTGAGACAGGCTAAATTACACCATATTGTTAATGACATTAAGCATACATTTTTTTAAATACCTTCGCGAAGTAAAACTTCTGTACGTAGTACTTATTATTATTCTGTGCTTGTGCTGTTAATTACAATTCTCAATCTGTTAATAATTTATTCATTTTACCGTGTTCGTACTACTGTCCTCGTAAAATCATCGTTACCGATTGTTGTAATCGGCTTACAATTAACAACGTGTACATCACTCGACCATGTATGTCCATTTGGACATATCGGAATGGCACGCTTTGACGAGCAACTTGCTGTATCTACTCTAATCCATATCTGTGGTTTCTTAGTTAGGTTGGTAGAAAAAGTCAACCTAACTTTGAAAACTGCTAGTTAGGGAGTGCTTACTCTTACTATTACGTGCTCTGTGGTTCTTCTTACTCGGATACTGAACGGATCGCTCCGAACTAGTACAATCGGTCAAATGAACTAGTTCGGTCTTCTAGTACTATTAGTTCATATTAGTACCTACACTGATTCTATTAGGTAGATCGAACGAAAAAAGTCTTTATTCCTATGCATTTATGGTCCAATATCGAAAAATACTCGCAACACAGTTACAGAGCCGTACCTATCTCACTCGCGCTCACATGTCACTAATCTCACGGCTCATTTTAACACTATTAGTTCATTTTAGTGCACCGATTTTACTAATCAGTTCGGACGAAAAACGTCTTTATTACTATTGTCTTATAGTACAATGTCGCAAAATACTCGCAACACACTCACAGAGCCGAATCCATCTCGGTCGCACGCGCTTGTCACCAATTTCTCTTGTTTGAGATTTTTTACAGGACCTAATCATTGTTTTATCACAAGAAATGGTGCAAAATTTTGTAGTGCGTGGTTGCGGTAATACGTGGTGTCCCGGAAGTGACTTAAGATTCCACGCGTAAGTGTTTATTTCGTGATTTCCGACATTGGATCATTGTAAACATTTTTCACGGTAATTTATTCCTAAAACGTTTTACAAGTATTTACACTTATTATTTAATGATACCTTTGTCAAGAAATAAAGATTTTACATTGAGTTTCATTGACTGAGCAAATTTATTTTGTTTATTTAGAAAGAGAGAGTCTGCCCACAGAGAGCGAGATAGTGATACATAGGTTGTGCTTCAAGTAGGTATTCGAAGTGTGGCCTCCATTTTATCTTTAGCTTCATGGGCTGTACTAAAGTGAACTAAAAGACCGATTTGAACGACCAAGACGAAATACATAGTTCGTTCTCGTTCACATAAAGCTTCCTAAGTTCCTATTAGTACATAG